GTGACAGAAAGGAGAGAGGAGCCCACTCTTACAAACACGGGGCCAGGTTGCTTTCCTGTGGAAGTCTGAACGTTCCCAGAGCGGCGCCCGCCCCAGGCCCACAGCCTGGGGAGCCGCCCAGCTGTGTGGGGGGCATGGCGGCCCCTGAGGGCAGGTGCTGGGCACCCGGCGGGACCCTGGCTTTGGGAGGGACATGGGGGAGGCAGGGCCCCCGGTTCTCAAGTGCACAGAGACCCCGTGCTGGGCCTGGCCCCAGATGCCCGACACGGGGTGCCCCGCCCCCACTCCGTGGCGCCCCCGCGGGCGCGGACGAGTCGGCAGCAGCGGTGTGAGGCTGGGCTCCTGGAATTTCATAAACCAGAAGAACTGAAGTCTGAGTGAGGGGAATAAATACATTCAGCGGAGAGGAACCGCTCTGCTAGTGGGGGCCGTCCTCCGGGCTGGACACAACTCCTCTCTGCGGAACCGCGAGCAGGCGGCCTCCCCGGGCCGGGCATGTTCTGCACACAGCTGGCCAGAAGGCACGCGGGGTCCCTCAGACGGAATGGGGGACGTAGAGGGCACCCACAAAGTCGGAAGCTCCAGAACAGCTGTGCTCTCATCGTCGATGACCTTGACGGAAGCAGAACGGGAAAGAGGTTACCTCGGGGTCAGGTGCTGAGGGCCCAAGCACTGGGTCAGAGCACCCACTGCGGGTCTGTGAGCCATGTTTCTCAGGCTCTGCCTCGCCAGGGATCCCCAAGGACCCCCAGCTCCCAGTGGCCCTCACCACCCCAGGAGTCCCACCTCCCTGGTGCCCGCTATGCCTCCTGGGCGGGGTCTCCCGACCCTGCACCCCACCCGTGTCCATCCCACCTCCCAGGGACCCTGAATTTCCCAGAAAAAGGCGCAGGACCCTTGACTAATTGGAAGCCCAGACCACGGGGCTCTCCGTGAAGCACACAGGGGTGCTGAGGGGAGGCCTACTGTTCTAGATCCTTCTGGCTGCTCATGGCCTGGGGGGCTGGGGAAGCTAATGGCTGTGCACATGGCCCTGGGGCTCACAGCTTCAGGAACCCCAACGTGCTACCATCAGGGTGTGTGACTGATGCCTTTTGGAGAGACACGCCCTCTGGGTTTGGGGGAACCCTCTGGGGTCGGGGGGCAGACCCTCGAATAAAAAACCTTCCCCAGGTTGGTGGGAAGTCAAGCTTCAGCCCTGCTTCTCGATGCGTCCCCACCTCCCATGTGACCACCCAGGTCCCCAGAGAGCCGTCCCTGAGCAGGCGGCCCTGGCCGCAGGGGCACATGGGCACCTCAGGCCATGTCTCAACACCAGACAGCAGTCAAGCCTGCAGGAGGGGAGCCCGCCCGAGGCCAGCAGCCTAAGGGGGAGCATTCTCTGCCACAACTCCCCACTTGCCCATTAGTCAGGGGTGGAGGGAGACATGCAGGTCTGCAGGGTCACTGGGTCACAGGAGGCTCCTGGCGGGGGTGGGGCAGCCAGAGGCCGGTCCGGCCAGACAGGGGCTCCAGGAAAGGGGGCGCCACAGAGCGCCACTGGCCGCAATCCCGTGGCTCTTCCCACCAGAAGGCATGGTGTCCCCCCACCCGGGGTGCCCTGAGGCCACCACAAGGAGCAGAGGTGACAATGAGCCCGTCCTGGCTCAGCCCCCAGGACGGAGCGGCCACGACGAGGTCCCGAGTGTCGAGACCACCGTGCCGGGAGGAAGCGCAGACTGCCACGCGGAGGGGCCCTGGTGCGCCTGCGAGAGAGAGAGAGAGCGAGAGACAGAGGAACAGAGAGAGACAGAGCGTGCACAGCCGTGCGCAGTCCGAGGGTGGGGCACCACGCAGAAGTGGCCACAGCAGAGGAGTCCACGGCCCGGCGCCCGGCGTGGCCAGGACCCCACAGAATTGGAAGAAATGCGGCGCCCGCGACGTCTGAAGCCGCTGTGTTCGGGGGAAATTTGTTCACACGGCGATGGCACACATGTCTGAAAGCACTGGGAGATTTGATGTCCCTGATCTGGGCACAAATAAATGGTAAGAATATAAAAACTAGGCAGCCCAAAAATGAGGCAAATTCAATTCCCAGAGAACAGTCCTGGTGATCCGTGTGGACCCGCTGTGAATTCCCATGTCCACACCGAGTCTCGATTCAGCCCCCACCTGGTGCTTGTGTGTGTGCGTGCCAGGGGGGCGGGGGCTTCTACGATTGCTCCGTCTTCATTTTCTACAGGAAAAAATGTCCGCGAACGGCGCCTCAATTGAAAAATCACGGAATAAGAAACAGCAGGAAAGTGCCTCATTTCGGACTCTGGAGACGAATTCTCTCATTACACACTTTCTATCACTAGTGGGCCTTTACAAGTTGAACATACATAACGCCGGTACAAATAAAACTTAAATGAAATTATGTTCAGGAACGCCTTATTCTCGTGTGAACCGAGAATCAGAGCCTTCTTCCATTTACGCAGAATAAAACCCCCGGAGATAGAGAAACCCGCGTGTCTCCCGCCCGCCCCTGCTGCTCCTCCACCAGCACCGGGCTCCCCCCTTGCTAGCCCAGTGCCTGAGCAGGGGTCAGGTCCCCGGGCCAGCCCTGTGCCCGCCACACCTGCCCAGGGGGCTGGCCTGGAGGGAGACAGGTGGTACAATCAGGTGGCTGGAAGGAGCTGGGGCCCAAGCAGCCCCAGGGATGAGGCTGGGTGGAGGGGGCAAGGCACTGACCTCCCCACGCAGGGCTGCTGGCCGTGGGACAGGGTGGACATGGTGGATGGCCCCGCCCTGCAGTCAGGTTCCTGGGGGCCCAGGAAAGACCCCGGGGCCGAGGCCTGAGAGCAAGCAGCCCACCCGTGAGCGGTCTGGCTGGGAGGGGGAAGGAGGGACTGCCCATCCTCCTCTGTCCAGAATGGCCAGGATTCCAAGGAGCCGGAAAGGCCCCCTCAGCGGCCGCAGCAAGCCACACTCACCCTGCCCCGGGGTCTCAGTGGGTGGGAGCAGCAGGTCCCAGGGGGGCAGGAGGGGCAGTGGGCACAGAGAGAGGACAGTGATGACCACGGCCCTGGTGGTCTGGGGGGGCGGACAGGGGGCAGCTTCCCTGGGTTATTTCTATTTGACAACCCCGGGGGTGCCATCACCCCAAGGGGCTGAGGCTAGAGGGGCTCCAGACCCTGCCCAAGGCCACTCAGCCAGCTTCGATACCAGGCTGCAAACCCATGTCCCAGGGCGGCCAGAACAAAGCACCACAGACTGGGCAGCTCCAAACACAGAGTCCCTCCCTCCGTCCTGGAGAACAGATGTCTGGAATCGAGGGGTCTCCAAGGGGCAGCCTGGTCTTTCAGAGGCCTGAGAAGGGGACCCCATCAGGCCATAGGCTTCCCTGGTCGTGGAACCACCCCCCCACCCCCGCAGTGTGGCTGGACAGCAGGCTGAGCACCAGGAGTGAGGGGCTCCCAGGTGACAGGTGCCTCTGCTGGGAACAGTCCGCCCCAAGTCCAGGCCTGACCACCCACCCCGGCCCCAACCACAAGCCCTGCAGGGAAGGCTGGCTGTGTCCAGACAGGTTCTACGGTCCCCTGGCCCGCGAGGGACGGGGCCTGAGCAACATACACTCAGCGGGCAGAGGTTTCTGCCCTGCCCTGGGGCGCAGTCCCTTCCCTGGCCAGGCAGAGGCCCTGACTCGGGGTCCCCGAGGAAGTGTGCCCCAGAAGAACGTGACCTGCTGTCGCTGGGTAAGCTCTGCTGGGGGAAGTCTCAGGGAAGCTGGATGAGGGAGACGGCCATTGTGCGTGGACTGGACGGGGGGCTGGATGGAGCCCCCGCCCCTGCTCCCCACACCCGCCCCCACTCTGGCCCTGCACTGCTGAGGATGGCAGACTCCCAGCGACTGGAGGAGCAATTCCCTCCTGAGAAACACGCACCAGATCGTAGCCGGGCACACAAACCCATTCCTGTTCACCTCTCCCTGCGGGGACACAGCTGGGACCCCCAGACTGTTCCCGTTCCAGGAGGGGTCCAGCTGGGGTCGGCAGCCCCACCTCCACAATCCCTCCACAATCGCGGGGAGCTGAGTGCAGGGGAGAAGCAGTGAGGAGAGGTGAGGAGGGGCGTCGGGGTCTGGGGAGGTCACAGCCCATCACAGGGGGACCTGCCGGGGGGCGAGGGGTCAGCGCCACCCAGAATCCGCCGGTCGCCCCTTTCCATTGAGTGTTTCAGGGGCTCCCATCAAAGGCAAGCACGCTTCGCGCCACTCGGCCCCCCGGAGATCATTAAAACTGCCCACGCCCCGCTCCACGACCGACCTTTGGAGCTGTCCGTACACATCCTTCAGCCGCCAACCTCCTTACAAACACGGGATTCGAGCGACCTGAGGAGGGCTGGTCGTCACTCGGTGTCTGCCGCGGGGGACAGCGGCTCCTGGAAGCCCCCCGGCTTGGCTGGGCCTCCATGAGAAGAGCAGGTGTTCCTAGAAATCTGGAGATGGCCGGGCGGGTCCCCTGCTCTGCTGTCACCCCAGCCAGGAAACCCCTCAGCATAAGCTTCTTTCCTCCCCCCGCCGCGGGCCCGGACGCCCGGTCCCAGAGCAGCCCAGCCCCCTGCTGTCCCTCCTACCACCAGCCCCCCGCCCCGACTTGGAAACAATGGCAAAGGTGAGGTCAGCACACAGGCTCCGGCCTCTGCGCCGAGAAAAGCTCGTTTTTCCTGGGGCTTCCTGGGCAGGGAGACGCCCTACTGGCCGGGAACCAGCCCAACGGCCCAGCAGGCTGCCCCACCTGCTCTGGGAGGACAGGCTTCCCTGGTGTCCCCGGGCAGGGCGCTGGCTCCCGCGCCCACCACGCAAGCGCTCGGACAGCCCCCTGCCCCCGTCTGCCCCTCAGGGCCCCAGCGGAGCGCACAGGAGCTGCGTCCCCCACGGGGCCCCGAGGTCACCACCGCGGGCCCCGCAGTCGAGGTCGGCTGAGGCCGCGCTGCCCGTCTTAGACGCTGGTGCCCCAGGGACTGGGTCCTCCGTTGGGGCTTGCGGGGAAGACGGCGGTGACCAGGAGGGCCTGGGCCGCGAGGGCATCAGGCGGGAAGCGTGGCGCAAGCGGCCAGCGCTCAGGCCCCAAGACGGGCGACCAGACCTGCGGCTCTCCGCACTTAAGGCCTGTTCGCCCAACCGCAGCCGGCTGCACACGGTAGCATGGGTACAGCGGCCCGTCGGGAGCAGGAACCCCCGTGCGTCCCGCAGCAAGGCGAAGGCCCACAGCTGCTCACCGCGCCACCATCCGCAGACACAGAACACATGCAGGGCCCCCAGGAGCCACGCAGATGCCTGACACACACGACCCCGCCCCTCATAAGTGTCCGCCACGCAGTGGCCACTCACGCTCCCACCCTGAACCTGTGACCCCATGCCCAGCCCCAAGAGCCCCACAGCACCTGGCCTTCCACGGGCCACACACACAGGCACTCTGCCACGGGGCCCTGTCCCTCCAGCTTGGCTCTTGGCCAAGCACAGCCACACCCTCAACCCTGCTGAGACCAGCGTGGCCTCTGTCGTGGACCGAGCACCCCGCTCTGCAGGACGAGGCCCTACGCCACCTGTTTGGTCCCCATGGTTCCTGTAGCCACATACACCCACGCCGCACTGCAGACCCAGGCCCAGGCGTGGGAGTCCCCAGGCCAAGGAAATGAGGGTGCAGCCCTGTCTCCCTTGGGAAGTTCAGAGACGCCGGCAGGAGGCCTTCAGAATCAGGGTCAGTCACGCCCGCTGGAAGGGGACGAGTCCCAGGAATGCCCGCATGGGAAATGCCAACTCCTCCATAATGCAGGATGGGAAGATCGCTGTTGGGAGTCAGGTTTCCCCAGGATATCCGCAAAGTTGACATGCGGCCCACACCTCGTGGTCCAGAGGCCCAGGCGCCCGGCTCCCAGCCAGTGCTCCCCCTCGGTGCGGGGAGGGCCCCCGGGAGGGCCTGTGATCCACGTGACCTGTCCACGTGGACGTGGGAGCCTCCAGCTCAGGGTTCATAGTCCAGAGGTGCCTCGGGGAGATGCCAACCTGCCCACCTGCCCCAGACCCTCTTCCCAGGCTGCCTCCTCCGTCCAGTTACCCTTCCAGCCATAGCTGGGGAGTATCTCCCCCATGCTGAGGGCGCAGGGACACAGCAGGCAACTGGCTCTCGTCTCCAAGGCCAAGGCAGGGCCGCCCAGCAGCCCCTGGCAGGCTGGATGCACAGTGAAGAGCCCGGCCCGGGAGCGAACCCTGGCTCCGTGCCCCCCATGAACTAGTGTCCCCATCTGGGGAGCCACGGCCCATCCCCTGGGGCCAAGGGCCCCTGCTGCCAGAGTCTGAACTCACGGAACTTACCTGACGGGGAGACCGCACACAGAACAGGGTGCGGGGTGAGCATGCCGCGCGGGGCTTGTCAGGCACAGCTGTGCACAGGGAGCTCTGGGAGACCCTCCCCAAGGAGGGGACACAGAGCCACGGCCTTGAGGAAGAGGCGGCGGCCAGCAGGCGTGGAGTGAGGCGGGCACTGCGGCTTTGCCACCCGGTGCCACGAGCCAGGACCCAGGGAAAACCTGGGTTCTCGGGGGCCTCCCTGCCCTGGAGTCTGCAGCCCCACCACTGGATCAGGTCGGAGTCTCAGGTCCCCCAGGGCCTGTAGGACACAGGCACCTTCCTGCTTGGTGACCTGCTCCCACCCCCAGCTCATAGCCTGCCTTGTCTGAGGAAAGCATGGACAGCCCGCAGTCTGTAAGGATGCTGATGAACAAGCTGCGGTGTGCCCGTGGGCTCTGCCAGGACGAGGACGTGGTCTCTGCCCATGGCCTCTGGCCATGGCCACCAGCATCTTCTCGGTGCGGGTCAGAGGGAAAGCGAGGCATGGGGGACTAGGGATGCCGCACAAGCCTAAGCGGGGAGAGGGGGCTTCACGTATGTGTCTGCTTATGTCGCAAACATAGGAGGATCAACCACCCCCGAGCCAACGCTGACCCCTGTGGGGTGCTCCAAATGGGCCTGGTCGCATCGATTTGACGTGGGACCCTCAGAAATGAGCACAGGACTACGAAACACACACCAAAATGTACAAAGACAGGAATATGTAGAAGGGGAAAGTAGACTGAAATCAACGACTCTGTGTTTTGAGCTCACAACAACCAGAGAGAGAGGATTTGTTTGGATGACTTTGGAAGGGGAATCAGGGCCCCCAGCCATGCAGGGCCAGACCCCAGGGACAAGACGATCCACAGGGAAACCTTGCAGTGTCCCCACTAATCGCCCACGGGTGACACTGCGGTACCGTTGTTTGGACATGATGACCTATGACACGTTCCACGGAGATTAGGTGGCTGGAACATTACATGTCAAACACACGGCATAGTACATTTAATATTCCACATACGATACACACGCTAACGTTTACACGGAAAGTTCACACAGTTGACCCTTGAATAACAACGGGGATTAGGGTGTGGCCCCCCGTACGGTCAAAACTCCACGTATAACTCTGACTCCCCCCAAATGTAACTACCAACAGCCTGCTGGGGATCGGAGCCCCACCGACGACTCAGCCACCGAACAGGTATGTTGTATGTTGTGCGTATGACCCGCTCTAGTCTTACAACGAACTCAGCTAGACGAAAGGAAGTGTTATTAAGAAAACTGGAAGGGAGAGAAAAATTTGCTCTTACACATTCACGGTACTGCGGTGTATTTCTCAGAAAAACCTGCCTACAAGCAGACCCGCGAAGGTCAAGCCCGTGTTGTTCAGAGGTCAACTCTAATGACGTGAGTTTCACGAAGAACCGAGATTTTCAGCATAAGAGAGAAGAAATGCAAATATAAAAGTTAAAGAAGTAAAAATTCCAAATGAGAAAAATCAGTCACAAAGTCACGATCTCTCTGTCATTGGCAGAGGCTAGAAACAGCCGGGAAACAGCGGGGAAGCTCAGGGCCCCTCGTGGCAGGAGGGGTGGCCAACATCTGTCCCCGGAGAGGACCCAGGACCCCCTGGGGGAGGGCCGACCCCAGGGCCGGACGGGAAATGCCCACCGCGAGCCGGAATCCCGTCAGGCACAGAGCACGGCCGTTGCCAGAGGTGATGCGGGTGCTGGTGAGCTACCCGCCAGGGACGGGACAGTACGAACACCAAAAGCCATAGTATTTGCGCGGATGGAAGGGAGTCACGAGCTCGTGTGACACGCACACGCCCAGGACAGAGCTCACTGGTTGCTCTGGCGAGTGGTCCTGCCTTTGTCCGGCAAGACTGCACCTGAGTTATGGCGCGACCAGTGTCCCTGCAGGATGGCTAAGCAACGGACAGGGTAGCAGCGCAGAAGAAGGGGGGCCGCCTGCAGGACCCCTCCACAGGGGTGCAGTGCGGGTCCTTTCCCGAGGGCCCTGGGCCTCTGGGTTGGGGTTCGGGCCAGGGGTGCAGAGGCGGGGTGGGGCCAGGGGTGAGTATTTGGAGCTGGGGTGGCATGGAAGCCATGAAAACCAGGGCAAACGGGGCTCTTCTGCCAGGCCAGGCATCTCACCGGGGGAGGGGCACCTGCCTGGACGCCCCCTTCCCCCGCCGCCCACCAGGAGAAGTCCCCTCACCCCAGGCACCCGGTGCCTGGAAGAGCAGCTGCAAACACCCCATGAGTCTCCTGGGCACTGCGTAGCCACTGCCCCTGCCTCACCCACCTGCACCCCACCTGGCCCCCCGGCCCTCCCAGGCACGCAGGGCCCGGCCCGGAGGAGGCACCAGGGATGGTGCCAGCAGCCGGGAGGCGGGACGGGGCCTAAGTTCCCACAGCAGGCTCAGAATTATAGGCCTTCGCTTTCCTTTGGGAACAAAATAATTACAACCTTCACCGAGGACCTGAGTTCCCTGAAAGCAATGCGGGGAGTCCGCTAAGAAACCCATCTTCAGAAGTGGAAGTACCTTTTTATTTAGGGTTGGAAAAGAGAAAAGCCAGTTTGGGGCTTGCAGCTCAAGGACCTTGTTCCAAAAGGGAGAACCCACAAGGAAAGTGAGACCGCGGACCCAGGGTCTGGACGCCTCCGCCCCAGCCCCACCAGCAAGCGCCACACAAGCTTCCGGCCTCCGTGGGGGTGACCCCGCCAGGCAGGCGTGAGGCCAGGCCCCGCAGCTCCGCGAGCGGGGTCGGGCTGGCTCTCCTGCGGGGGCTCCGTAACCCGGGAGAAATGAGCACCATGGAGCTAAAGCGCCAAGTGGCCCATGGAGCTGCCAGGACCCACCGCCCACACACACCGCCTCCCGGGCAGGGCAGCGGATCCTCTGGAACGAGTCCGTCCACACCGCACAAGCCCCGCAGGCTCCAGTCTCCCACCAGTGGACCCCTCCCTGAGCCCAGCAGGCCCGTCGAAGAAGAGGCTGGTGGGCCTGAGCGGGGTGGACATGCAGGCCCCTTATCCTCCTGTCTGGCCGTGGGTGAATGGGGCCCCACACACTTCAGGTCCCAACCCCTGGGACTGGGGGACCGTCCCCTTCAGTGGGAAAGGCGCTGCAGGTGTGACTACACTAGGACGCTGGTATGAGGCCATGCTGGGTCACCCACGCGGCCATCCTGGGGTCCCTGCAGGACACTGAGGAGGAGAAGAGGCCACGTGACCACAGAGGCAGAGGTTGAGGAGATGCCGTCACAAGCCCAGGGACTCTGGGAGCCCCCGGGAGCTGGAAGGAGCCTCCCTGGAGCCTCCGGAGGGAGTGCAGTCCTGCTGACACCTTGAGCTCGGGGTCGGGTCTCCAGAACCGTGAGAATAAAGTCCTGTTCTTCCGAGCGGCCAGGATGGGGGGACAGCGGCCCCAGGAAGCTAATACATGGGATGAGGCTAGCCCCAAGGACGCCCAGTGACGCTCAGTGAGTCACGAAGTCCAGTCCTGGAGTTACCCAACCCCTGGCACCGCGAGGGGGATGGCTGTGTGACCCCAAAAAGCTCCTGCCCTCCAACACCCCAGCCACCGAGGCAGGAAGGGAAGTGCTGGGGCCCTTGGTTCCACAGGAGGCTGGACAACAGCCCTGGGGCCCTTCCCGCTCACACGGAGCCTGTGAACTTCCTACTGGCCCGAGAGGCCGGGAGGGGCCCCGGGTGCCCTCCTGCCCCCCACCCCGGGCCCCGCCACAACAGAGCACCACCAATAGCCCGCCCACCCCCCAGCTCTGCCCAGGAGGGGCCCCAGGCTCCAGAGGCCCATACATGGTGCTGTCGTCGGGGCTCCCAGGACACTGGGCCCCTCAGGGCGTGCTCCCCATGACTGTCAGTAACGGCTCCGACCCTGCCTCGTGGGCCCCGCCCATCCGTGAGCGCCCACTGCCCTCTCGAGTCCGTGGCCCACCTGTCTCTCTCCTCCACAGCTTCCTCCGCCCTAGCGGCCGTTCTGTGGGGCCTAGATGGTTCCCCAGCTCCATGACCCCAGCCCCAATGTTCCTGAGTACTGGGCCCGAGTCATCTCCCAGCCAAGACTCAGGCACTCAGGCCCCAGCCAGCGGGGGCCACCTGGTCCCCAGTGGTCCCCAGTTCTCAGGCCCCTGCTCCTCACTTCGCCCCTTGCCCTCCATCGGCTCCCCATCCTGGCCTCAGCTTCTGTCCTCCTGCCATTCCTCACCTCCTGACCCCAGCTGGGGTCTTTTCAGCCCAAACGGGGCCATTCACCCCTCTGCCTAACGGCCCCCATGGTGTCCTTCGCTCTCAGGACAAGGCTGCCTTCCGGGCCTCAGCATCCCCACGCCTGGCTGCCTCCTCCCCCATCCTGGAATGTGCAGGCTTCCTCCTGCCACAGGCCTCGGGCTTGCGCCCTCCTTCTGCCTAGGATGCTCACCCCCCAGCCTATTAGCTCACGATTAGCTCACCGTTCGCGCTCAGCCATATGTCACCTCTTCCAGGAAGCCTTCCCGGATCCCCAGTCCAGGTCAGCTTCCTCGCCAGATGCTCGCTGGGGGGCCCTCGTCCCTTCTCAGCACGTTCCTGTGTGTGATTATGCACAAATTTGGGGGCTGTGATTCACAGGGTGAGGCCGCAGTGACACTGTGTCCCCTCTGTCCCCCATCTAGTGGAGCTCTCGGCCCACCGGGGGCGGGCCGCCACCCTCAGGAGGAGTCGCCATCACCTTTCAGGGTGGGGGGCTGTCCCCACACTCTCGGCTGTCCCCACCCCACCTGCAGGACAAGGCCGTCTGATCAGCCGAGTCCCTCAAGGTCCAAGTCGGAGGAGGATGTCCGCCCATCCAGCCAGGAGCATGAGCCCGTCCCCACCCCAGGAATGCAGCCTGTGACCCTCCCACTGCCCTCCCTGGGGTGCCCTGACAGCCTGTGTGTGGGGGGCAGGGCACGGGAGGAGCCCCTGTGAAAACAGCCCCCAGGGAGCCAGAGAGGGCACAGTGGCCACCTCCAAAGGCGGCCGCCGACAGGTCACTACCAGGCGCCCCGGGGACCCCTCACTCACCACCCAACCCGAGAGGCAGGTCCGTCACTCGGAGACAGACAGGGAAAATGAGGCCCGAAGTGCTGGGCTGCTGGGGCCAGAGCAGCAGGCGACCAGCCAGGCCAGTGCGGGGCGGCCCTGTGTCTGTCCCTGGAGGTCAGGGCCTTCCTCAGGAGGAGGCCCACATCCCCCCAGGCTGGACTGGTGCTCTGGGGGCAGTCCCTGCCGAGGGCCACTGTGCCCTCTCACCGGAGCCCAGCCAGGCCCCCGGCTGGCCTCTCACCACTGCCCTGGCCACCACGTCCCAGGCCGGCTTGGCGCTTCTCCGGAACGTCCCTGGGGGCACCCCAGTCAGCTGAGCCTCCAGCCACCCTGCAAGATGGGACAGAGGAATCTCTTGGGACTGGATGCTGGGCACGACGTCCCTGGGAGGGCCCTGACCCCGCGGGGTCGGCTGGGATGCCCCCTGACTGGCGCCGGGGGGCACTGCAGACACCCCCCATGTCCTTGGGGCCGCCAGCGGCGCCCGTTGGGCTGGACGTGGCCTAAAGTACAAGCTTCCCCGGCTGGTCTCCCTGCCCGAGCTCCAGGCCCACACAGCCCTCCTCCCGGGGGGGCCAGCTACTAGCGACCAGACAAGCCCCATCAGCATCGTACACATGCTCTGCAGGGCAGCCCCCTGCACCAGACCCCGCGGCCCTTGGCTCGCCCAGAGAAGCCCACCGTCCCCACAGAAGGCGGTTCCCAGTTTCCCCTTCAAGGAGCAGGCCAAGGGCCTGGCCCCCAAACAGCATCACGGACACTTGAAAGCAAACTTGTCCACCAGGAGAGCCCCGCTCACCAGTGCCAGCTGATTAAACACCAGCTGGTGTGGCCCTCAGAGCAGTCTTCCATCCTCAAAACACAAAACTCAAGCCAATCAGCCAAAACCGCTTTGTGCTTTGGTGCTAAAAAGATCCAGCATCCTACGCTCCCAGAGCTCCACGCACTGCTGGGGAAGCATGGTGCTGCCCAGAGACCAAAGAAAGAGACCGAGACACACAAAGAGACAGAGAAGGAGAGGCAGAGAGACAGAGAGAGCCAGAGGATGAGGGAGGGAGGGAGGGAGGCCTTGAGGGAGGCAGGGAGGGAGGGAGGAGAGGCCTGTCTGTGGGCACAGCCCCTGTAGCAGGGAAACCCGTCTGGCCAGATTCTTCCCTCTGCTTCCAGGTAAACACAGCCAGCCCTGAACACGCTGGCCAACGAACGTTCTCCAGGGGAGGGGGGCTCCCTGCCCCCCAGGTGGGCTCACAGTCCCTAGTAAGCGCCCACTGTGACCAGGGATCTGAAGGTCACTCTTGAGGACTGACTGCTCACCACGTCCTTGCCGACACCGGCCCACAGCTCACGGGAAAGGGGCAAGTGGGAGAGGTGCCCAGATTCCACACTGACCCCCGACCAGGCCAAAGGCAGGAGGGGCCTGGTGGGCAGCGAGCCTGGGCTGGGGATGGCAGACGGCACACAGATGGGCAGGACCCCACAGAGGGTCCCCAGGCCCCCAGGACATGCCCGGAGCAGGAAGTTGCGTCTGACCATTCTCCAGACCCCTTCCCTCAGGTGAGCCGGCCGCCGGCCCCACAGGGTGCCCCCACTTGAGACCCTCGCTGGCTCGATGCCAACAGGTTGGTGCCATGCCCGCGCCCCAACACGAAGACCCAGAGCTCACAGGGGCTGTGCCTGGTTCTGGAGAGGATAGGCTTGTGTCTGGACCCCTGGGAGTCATTCAGGGCACTTGACTGGGACTGACACAGGAAGCAGTGGGGGGAAGGGTGGGGACAAGGCTTCCAGAGTCCCGGCTGTGACCCTGCCCCGGTGCCCCCCTCATCATCATCGCTTTCTCAATCCTGGGCCCCCCAATCCATGTGGCACAGCAGTGAGGGGGTCACGCCAGGTGCCCCACAAACCCCTTCCCAACCACATATCCGCCAGCCCCGTTAAGGCCTGAGGGCTCGAGCTGGGGACTGTGGTGCCAGACAGGGGGATGGGCAGGTGGACCAGACCAGGCAAGGTCAGCTGAAGGTCACAGAAACCAAGGCAGAGGCCCAGCTAGGATGGAGGACCACTGATCTGGGCACAGCCCCGCCTCCCCGCATCTCTGTTTCTGCAGGCATTAGGCCACGGGGTCAGGAAGATGGCCGTGGCCTGACCTCCAAGGAGGGACCCCACCACACACCCTCTGGTCCAGCCCAGGCCACCTGCACAGGACCCACCTCCTCCCAAGGGGGAGGCCACGGAGGGGAGCTGGCTCCGGGAGGTCCCCACTAGGGCCAGTGACCCGCTGGACACCCCCTAGTGCGCAGGCTCCAGAGCTGGTGGCAGCCATTCGATGAGACCATGCCCAGCACTTCCCTGTGCCGGGTCCCAGGGGACGCTCACAGCAGGCAGTCTCTGTCCCTCAGCCACTTCCTGACACCCCCACGTGGTATGTCCACATGGACAGACACCCAAGGCGGACCCTCCTAAGGCCCGTGGCTGAAGATCCTACAAAATTCTCCTGGAGAGGAGTCAGAGGGCAAGACGCCGGCCCGGGAACACAGCCCAGAGCCACCTCCGGGAGCCCAGAGCGCCTGGCCGCCACAGGCCCAGGAAGGACCCACACGGGCGCTGGGCCGGTCGGAAGGGTGGGGGGCGAGGGCCACCAGAGTGGCATCTGAGGGCCTGCAGCTCAGTGCCCTTCCTTCTTCCTGAGTCAGGACCCACCTGGGAACAGGAGGGAGAGGGGCCGCGGCTCCAGTCCAGGGAGAGGGGAAGCTGTGTCCTCTCAGAGTGCGTGGCCCCCGAGGAAGCCCCCACCCCACCCCTCGGTCAAGACTGCCATCTTTAAACCTGCTCCTTCCTCGGGGTGGGAAGGCAGATAAAAGGGTAAGCAGATCCTTCACGGCAACACAAACTGGGCCTGTTCTGGGCACGGGCCGCGGAGGCCGCTACTTTGAAAGCCTCTCTCCGGTGACCGGCGAAGCTGAGTGACCCTGGCCACGAGCAGGACAATTCTCCAAACGGCCAGGCGCTGGAAGTGGCCGGAGGCCGCCGCTGGGAGCAGAGGGCCGCCAGAGCCCAGCCCCGGCGCGCACTCACCTGGTCGCCCGAGTTAGGTCTCAAACTGGGTTAAGAGCTCCCTTATTTCCGGGGCCACGTGCTCGGCGGCGTTTGCAGCCTCTGTGATAGCCTTGCGGTACATCCCCTTCTTCTTACGGTTAAATCTCAGTTTGAAAAACTCAGAGAAAGGGGAGAGTTTTGAAGTAGACAAGAACGACGTAGTTGGAGAACCAAACCACGAGACTTTCGCTTCTTGCCAAGAGGGCTCCCCGTCCTCCTTCTGGCTAAGACTGAGGTCAAGCACACGCGCTGGCCACCAAGGGAAACCGTGAATCTTACCCCACACAATGTCCCCTACGGCCACCGTCCTCCCGTCCTCGGTAACGCACTTGGAGACGCTCTGTGTGTGCAGGCGGACCGTGAGCGGTGGGACTGTCTGCCTCACGTCCTTGGACGAGGCCCGCACAGACGCACCGTCACCTGACGACAGGTCACATGTGTCTGGTGATGTGACTTCCGAGCTGGACGATTTGGACTCGTCCAGGCTGTCGCTGCTCCACACTGACTCGCTGGCACACTCTGTCCCCCGCCTGGGGCAGGTGGCGAGGAAAGCCAGGCTCTCTTGCCCGTGTTGACCTGGGGGACACCGCTTGAAGTCCTCATCCTCGCCAGAGCTTCCAGAAGAAGAGTCCACCAGCCCACTGCCGGCAGAGCTGTGGCCGAGGAGAGCGGGTGAGCCGGCCCGGGGGCCTCGCCCATGGCCATTGAGTGCCTCCACCAGCTCGGCCCTGTAGACGGGTTCCCGCTCCCCAGCCCCCCGGGGGTGGGGCTTCAAGCGGATCTTGGGGGGCGGCAGGTTGGTGCCAGGGGGCCCGGGACGCGTCAGCTTCAGCTTGGGGATAGAGGCGGAGGGCCCACCGGGATCCTGGCTGCCCCCGTGCAGGGCCTGGGAGGGGCAGAAGGGCTCCAGGGACCCGTGCACGCGGGAGGGGATCTCCACCACCTCGCCTTTGCCCTGCGGCGTGCTGTAGGAGATCTTGATGGCCGGGCTCCGGGGGACCCGGGCCTTGTCCTCCTCCCGCCTTTCCCTCTTGCTTCTCCTCGTGCTGGTGGCCGTCGTGTCCCCTCCACCATCAGGGTCCTCGAGCTTGCGGGGCTCCCTGTTGGGGCCGGGGCCACTGCCCACCCTCCGGCGGGGCCGAGGGGCAGCTGGGGGGCCGGGGCTGGCCTCGGGGGGGCTCAGAGTGCTCTTGCACTTCTCACAGAGTACTTGGCGCGGCCGCAGGCGGATGGGGCTCAGGGCGAGCCGGCCTGGGTCGCGGTTACGGGACAGGCGTCGGCGGGTCCTCTTGATGGTCCGGGGTGGCGGCTGCGGTACCCACTGCCGGTAGGTGCTTCTCAGCCAGAGCGGGGGAGGGAAGGGGGCGCCTTCGAAATACGGCGGGAACGGTGGCACAAGGGGTGGGGGCGGCTTGGGGTCTGCGGTCTCGGGGGGCTGTTCCCCACAGGGAGGCGGCAGAGGGCCCGTCCCTAGCTGCATCGCCTCTCCGTCCTGCTCCTTGGGGGCCGGGCCGTGGCAGCCGTTGACAGGGGGGTCCTCGGGCTGGGGCAGCGGAGTCGACAGGGGCAGGCCGAAGAGGCCGGACCTGGCAGTGGGGAGACAGAAGGGGACAGTCAGGACCGTGAGGACACCGCTGCACCCAGTCCCCACCCCCAGGGGCCCGGCGGGATCTGGGTACTGGCATGTGCCCTGAGCATCTTCAGGTGCCTCCAGGTTCTGAACAGGGGCAAACGCCCCTGCGTGTCCCCCATGTGGGGCATCCCAGGGGAAGGCATGTGCTCTATGAAGCCTGGGGACCAGCATGAAGGCCACCTCTCAGGTCTGTCAGGCACTGGTGTCCGTATCTCCGTTCACGTGGGCTCGCAGCTGGAGACCTCCCAAGACCCAGTGTAGGCGTGGGGGCCCTGGAAGCCTGAGAACAGGGTCTGGGGAGTCTGGGGTGCTGTGACATGGCCTGACTGGGCCTGTGGGGGGGGCTGCTCTGTGGCCAGTGGCCCCTGGTCACCGGCCTTGTCCACCCACTTTCTTCCTCCCCGAGGGAAGACCCCAAGCATGCTACCCATGGGCCCAGGTGCCTGCCGTGTGCGAGGGTGTCCGGGGGTGGGGGCTGCCATGGCGGCCATGGACAGAGGACAGGTGTCAGCCAGAGCCCACTCCCTCCTAAATGCTGAGTCGGTCCCAACGGTCTTCACTGCCTGCAGGTGAAGGTGATAGCCACACCAGCCCTGCCCACCGCAACCTCAAAGGACCACCCCTCCTGCCTGGCACTGCCAGGCCCTTCCCTCAGGACTCCAGCTCCAGGAGGGGAGTGGGCCAAGCGGCATCGACGAGGCCATGTGACCCACGGGAAGGGGACGAGAGAGGGCAGGAGACCCACCTCCCTCCCATGGAGACCTCCACAGCCAAGGCCAAGGGTAGGGTGGCTCCCACAGGGTTCCCTAGCCGGGACCTGCCCAGCTAGAGGCCTGCTCTCTCCCGGGGAAGTGCTGGGCCACACAGCCTCCTCTGGGCACCTGGGGGGGGCGGGGTCTTGTGCACCTGCGGGGGGTTGTTGATGAACGTCAGCGGGCAGAGTGCCTTCCAGAGGGGAGGGCCATCCCCGAGGCCCCATGCTGTGGATGTCGCTGCATCTAATTGACCAGCGACCCACGGTGCAGCAGGAAAACATAGAAATAGTAAAAAACCAGCCCAATACTCCATACCTTTCTCCAGTGGCGAGCACCATGACTTTTCAACAAACGTGATGCAATCTCGCAAAACCGCTTCAGCTAAAAGCTGTTGTTTTTGTAAGCACAAAAGCAGACTTCCACCAAGTTGCGGGAAACAAGGCTTAGAACACGACACTTCTGTCCCCACTCCCCACTTCGAATCTGACCAGAGTAGAAATGACAGATGGACGCTTCCACTGTTTCAATTTTCAAATGGTTTCCCCATTTGCTGTTCTCCAGAAGCATCCAGGCAAGCTGAGAAGGGCCTACCGTCCATGACATCACCGCCCCCCGCACAGCCCCCAAGCGCCAGGGCCGGGAGCCGGGCACACACGGGACGGAGGGCATCGACTCCCCATGGTCTTCAGGGTCACGAGATTGATGAACTAATAAACATGGCGGCAGGTCTGCATGCAAACACTGCCCCATTTTTGTTTAATTCAAGTTCATGGTAAAAGCCTGGAAACTGTAGTTTTCCTCCTTCCCATCAGGTTCTCATCTACCTGTGGCCATGCCCTGAATCTAAAGTCCTCGTGGGTGGGGCAGGGGGGGTGGTGAGGGGCTCACGTCTTCTCTTCATGACCAGAGAGTCCAGCAAACACAGGTCCATGGCCACCTGGCCCGGGCAGCCTGCTCCTGCCCTTTGTGTGGCCAGAGGGCTGACCTGCCCGTAACCTGTGGCCAAGAGGAAGGGAAAAGGGGGGGGGGAGCAGTAGGGCCAGCTGGGGAGAGGGACCACCCAGCTCCCTCCCCGGTGAGATTGTGCTCTGGTGGCTGATGAGCCCCACCATCCCCTCCTCATCCTCCTCTGGGCATGTGGCTCCTCCTGCCCTGTGGCCTGGGACGACCAGGCGTCCCCACAGGACGGCTTGTGCTGCGACCCCTACAGCCCCAGGCCCTGCGTCCTGGCTGACCAAGCGGCAGCAGAGTCCTTTCCCTACGTAGGTGCTGACCGCGTGTGCACACGGCTTCCTGCATCTCAGCCATCGTGGGAATCCGGCACTGGAGGATTTCCACACTAGGATGGGCTCGGACTCTTGCGGACCAGCGGTGGGAAAGGGGGCCCCGGGTCATTCCCTCACCTGGCACTGGGTGCACAGACCCCACGGCCCCAGCAGCCAGCGCCAGTTTTCTAAGTCAGGATTTACCGGTGCAGAGCCACGCTTGCTCGCTCGGGCTGCCCTGGCGGTCTTCCCGAGCTGCACGGAAGCCAGGCCCAAAACAGGTGCTGTGCGGCCCGCTATGGAAAGTCTGCCGGAGTCCAGGTGTGGGAGACAAGCCCCTGCCCAAAGCTGCCCGCACCCCCAACCGCGGTCGTGACAGGCAGGTGTGTCAGCAAACGTCACCCCGAGTCCCCGGGCATCAGAGCCAGGACTGGACCCCACACAGAAGTCAGCCCCTGGTTCTTTTGCCGGGCATTCAAAAGCAGCTAAAAACTCTGAGCGCTAAACTCGTGCTCATACGAAGGCACACGCATTCACTCACCCTGAGCTCCTGGGCCGCATGCTCACTGCCCCTTGCTGTGAGGGGTGTCAGGATCCCCTCCATGTAACCCACAGCACCCCACGAAGGGGCCTCCAATGCAGGGGGTGTTAGCAAGGAGAGAGGGGAGGCCAGGGGGTCCCCACCCCGGGCAGCAGTGGTGCCCTGACAGAGGGTGACATCCAGAAGACCCGCAGTGCAAGAGGCCCCCAAGGAGCCCCTCAAGGGACAGCCTCGGCCCCGCGGGCAACACCTGGATGGCACACTGGCGCCTACACTGAGTGGGTACCCCAGCTAAGGCTGAGGCAGAGAGCACCCCAACTGCCACCCTGTGGGCGTAAGACAAGGGCCACAGGGAAGGCTGCAGGACCTCTAAGAGGACACCCCGTCGGCAGGTCTATCGACCACAGGGGTCCCACAGCGAGGAGGGGTCCACACGCCAGGCAGGATCCACATGCCTAGACCTGGAGGGCTGTTCCCAAGGCCCCCCAAAACCTACTTCTGCCCACTTTTGCAGGCACTCAGACCATGAACGGGGGGGGGGGGGCTCACTCATACCCTCCCCTTCATCTGCATCCCCACCCCCCCCAGGCTTCTTTGCGGTCAGCCTGCTCGTGAGACTCCCCTGCCCCCTGCCCCCTGCCCCCAAGTCTGTGCCAGTGCAGACCCCCTCCTGCCAGGCTGGGGCTCAGGGCACCCCAAAAGCAAAACCCCTGGACAGCCACTTTCCCATCACCCTCTACCCAAACTAACCCGTCGTCCCCCCAGAACCCTCCTCTGCAGGAGCCAGCCCACCCTGGGGGTTGTGCAGTCCTCTCCTGCTACAGGCAGGCTGGAGCGGGGGTGTTGGTGGGGGGGGGTGGAAAGTCCCCCTATTCCCGAAGGCCCCAAAGTTGGGTCCAGGGAGGTTTTTGTCCCCGGTTTACGGCGCACAACCCCCCTCAGGGAGTCCCTGCATGTTTGGGACAGAGATCCAGGCCCTGACCTGAGCCACAGCTCTAAGGCATGGCCCCTGGGCACAGGCCGGTCAGGCAGTGACCCCTCCCTGCCCTGGCAGGTCAAACTGGACACTGGCCTTGGCTTCACAGAGCACTGGGAGCCTGGAGAGCAGGCGCGTCCCTGCCCTTGTGTGCAGGCGCCCTCGGCCTATGGGGGGGCTCTTGCCTTGGGCGGGGTGCGGGGGGGCTTCAGGAGGTCAGCTGCAGCACCCCCCCCCCCGGGGGTGGCACCCTGTGAGGACCCGGTGGCAGCCCCGTGACTCTGGCGCGGCATGCAGCCGCCACACTTCCTTCCCGGGGCGGGCCCTGCCCAGGCCACGCCCCGCCCAGGCCACGCCCACACCCCTGATGGGTAAACAGCAGCTGGGGGATGGCTCCCTCCCCGGACCGCAGGCTTCAGCGCCCGAAGCCTCCACACAGCCCCAGGACACACACAGCACAGCCATCCCCTGCTTACGGATGGGGGGCGGAGGGAAGCCCGGGACGGTCGGGTCTGAGCCCCTGTCCAGGCACGCACACAGCAGCAGCCACTCCCCCTGGCAAGGACGGCAGCACCCTGCCCCAGTGGGGCGACCTCAGCTGGACTCCAGGGCACAAGGCGTGGCACCACTCTGCGTTTCGCCCACAGGGCCCAGCCCCGCAGTGAGGCCAGGCTGTGCTGACGTCGGCTCGTGCCCGGGGATGGAGGCCCCGGCCAGCCTGGCAGGTGATACCGCAGGGCCTTGGCAGGGAGAGACAGCCTGCCAGGCCCCAGGCCAGGGGCCCAGGCCCCCGCACCGTCCTGCCCTCCGTGCTGCTGAGGGTCCCTGCTGGTTCCCTCCCCAAGGACAGAGAGGTGTGTGGGGAGGAGCCCTGGGGACCGGGCTGCCAGGCCGGCCAAGGTCTCCGTGCAGGAAACTGGGGGACCCTGAAACAAAGCTCAGCACAGAGTCCTTGGGAGCTGGGGGAGGGTCAAATAGCCTCAGATCCGAGGAAAGGCTGGGGACACTGAGAGCCCAGGAGACTCCAACGGGGGTCAGACCCAAAAGCAGAGTAGTTCTTCCCCGGAAGGTCCCCACTCTACCGAGACGAACGCAGGGCCATTTGCACGGACACAGGAGAGAGAAGCAGCCTAGCCTGCAGTCCTTGGCAGGAGACCCGCTGCCGGCCTCAGCTCCCCCGCCCCCGTGAGGTCTCACCCATGCAAGCAGCTCAGCAAACCCCCAGAGCAGCCAGGCCTGAGCTGGCCCGCGGCCAGGAGGAGCTGGCCCTGCCGCCTGCCAGAGCTCCCGGCCGCCCCCGCGGCCTCCCCGCTCTGCAGACTCGGGACCCAAGTGGCTATGGAACCCGACAGCAGCCTCTGACCCCAGCCGGGTCCACGTTTGCCCTGGACCTCCCTTCCTCATCCTCCCACGGGGAGAGGCAACCCTGGTGTCCAGTAAAGAGGTGAAGAAACGTGGCTTCTGGACCAGAAACACCCCAGGGGTCCATCTCAGGCGCCTGCAGGGAGCACCATGTAGCCAGGAGCCTGTGGCCCCAGGGCAGACCTGAGTCCAGACGGCGAGGCCCACTCTGTGGCCGGGCTCCCCGCGTCCCACATGTTGGTTTAGAAAATATACCGCAGTCCGCCCCCCACCCCCACCAGGCCGGCAGCCCCGAGGGACGGACGGGAGCAGGTTCACGTGGGAAAGGGAGGCTGGGGAGGGCAGCCTCACCGGGCCTCCAGGCCCACCTCTGCTCAGGGAGTTGGGGAAAACAGGTTGGCCGGGGAAGTCACAGCCTGGATACCAGCGTGGTCCCTTGTCTAAGGCCACACATGGGAGGCTGCCCCTCCCCCATGGCAGACCCAGGCTCTCTGGGGCAAGCCACGGAGCCAGGCTAACACATCTGGCCTCCCGAGTCCTGGACTCAAAGGTTTAACCACCACAGCAGCTGACTACATCCCTCTCTACGCCATCCGGTGGCTCCCCCATTCCACACCCCCTCCTCACCTCCCCACTGGCCAGGTCCCCTGTGAGGCAGCTGTCTGCCTGCTGGGGGTCACACCACCCTATGCTACACTGGGCACCCTGCTCTCAGTCCCTCTGGCTCCCTGAGGATAGGGAGGACATGCCCAGTAGGACCTGGAACAGGTGTCTATCCTTATTTGTCCAGCGACCCATCCCGGCACCGGTCACCAGTGGGAGTGCGCCCCGGATGGAACAAGGGTGCTCTCCTGCCCAGGGACGGGCCTGCTGGGATTCCTGACTGGCTGGCTACAGAAGCTGGAGCCCCAACCTCGCAGGGTGGGGTGTGGGTCACAAAGGCCCAGAAGTCTTGTATGGTAATCGCACCCTGGATGACTCACAACTGGGGAAGTTTGAAAAACACCAGCTCAGAGATGAAGGCCGGGGGCCTCGGGGTTTGTCAGACCTGATGGGCAGCTGGTCGTCACTCCTACTGTCCATGAGACCTTCCTCCTTCACCGGGCTTCTGCTGTCCTTGGGCCATGCCTCAGCCAGAGGTATACCCCCAAACCACCCACAAAACAATGCCCACACCCACCCTGAACCGCAGTCTGAGCCTGTGGGGTCAAGGCAGGCCTGGGACATTGGTATCCTTACTACACCAGAAGGAATCACGGCCTTGTAGGGAGACTGGAAGGATCGTGCGTGCAGAGCGGGGTGCCTGGCACTCAGCCCAGGTACACAGTGGGGAGTCGATGAATGCAGGGGGATGCATGAGGGTGGGCACCAAGCAGCTGAGGGTATTCCCTCAGATCACAAAGCAGCTTGGCAGCAGGTTCAAGACTCGCGGGGGGAGGAGGCAGGCACCCTGGCCTGGCAGCACCACACACTTGCTGAGACCCTGGAGGCCTCGGGGAGCTCTTTTCCTCTGCGAACATTTGGGGAAGAGAAGCCACCTCCCAGGGTGCCAAGCGAGGGGATACCGCCTCCCAAAGACCCAGTGAGTCACCCTGCTTGCTGGGCCCTGCTCCAGGAGAGAGAACGGGACCTGCGCGAAGGGTCCCTCCCCTGGGACGGCTCCGACCTTGCAGGAGACATGGGAATGATTTACCGCCACATGGGGCTTCCCGTCCTCCAGGTCTGCGCACCAGCTCTGGAAGCCGCTGCTAAATGACAGTTCCTGGCGTGTGCCTGGCCACACACCAACAGCTGTGGCTGGGCTGCCCTGAACACAGTCTGCACAACTCCACTGCACTGGGACCCGGAAGTTCCCAATCGGAGCTCCCAGCTGCTGGGCCTGGCTGGGCAGGACCCACACCCAGGATGGGGCCCCCACCGAGGCAGCAGCCCCGCCACTGTCACAGACGAAGGGGGGCAGGCACGGAGGAGAAACTGGCCTCGGGAAGGCTATGGACCCTGCAGCTCAAGGCCAGACGCCCACCGCCCAGAACACCCAGGCCAGGTTATAAGTTGCCAATGGACCCCACCTGATGAACGGGCTGTAACAGGAGCACTGAACTCTTAACACTGTGGGCCCAGAACAGAAGACAGGGTGAAGTCAGGGTGGTAAGCAAAGGGGGGATGAGGGCAGGCCGGGGCCGTTTCGCACGGAGCAGTGGTGGGTTGGAGGTGCTGGGGCTGCAGCAGGAGCCCGTGCGGAGCAGAGCTGCACCCATCGAGGCCCGGGTTCTGTGGGTGGCTCCGGTTACAGCTGAATGTGGCCCTGGCAGGGCTGACGCCCACGAGTCTACGGCTGCCAGTTCCCATGCTGGGGAGCCCAGCCTGGCCGGCTTCCTTCCACGAGGGGAGTGCTGATCTCCAAGCCAGGTTAGCCCCAGCCTGGGTGGGGGGCAGGGGGTGGAGGCAGACAGAAAGGGAGGCCAGGCTGCCTCCCCCACCGACATTCCCCCCCACAAGTCAGAGGGGCCCGCAGCCTCCCCTGTCCTGAGTTGGGGAGCCCAGAAAACGGAGAAGGGATCCTCTGCGGCAATGCCCCTCACCAAGGAGGAAAGGCCCGGCCAGGCACAGCCCTGCGCAGACCCAGGAGCAGGAACAGGCCCCAGCGGGCCCTCCCGCCAGAGGGAGGAAGTGGTGGCCTTCACTGGCATGAGACCTTGACCCCGCAGGGCACAGGCTTGGCAGCTTCCAGGTGGCTTTGCTGCAGCCCCCCCCACCCCAGCCCCACCCCTTGGTCCCGCCAAGCACCCTCCGTGGTCTCCAGGGCAGAGTGGGGCGACAGTCACCTGGGAGGCCATATGTTAAATCACATGACTTGTGCATAAATGGTTTCTGGCCCATCTAATGGAGAGAGAATAGCAGCAGCTTAACTGTTGAAGAGTGATGGTCTTCCTGCCACGTCCAGGCGACTGCCACAAAATCTGGGCCCCTCGGAGGCAAAAAGTTGGGCCTCTGCAAGGGGAGGCATTTATTGCTTGCAGCCTCCAGATAAGGCCCAGCAGGAGCACTAAGACATTAGGGCCTGATTAATGCCTAATCATTTATCTGTGAGACAGCTCACTACCATGTGACACTGTAACCAGGAGACTCTTCCTGCTGCTGAGTCCCTGCAGTGGGCGCACAGGTGCGTCTCAGGATGATGTGCCCCCAGGCCTGCCCAGGGACCCCCTTCCACCGGAGAAAGCAGGGCTCCCACCACCAACCCCCTGCCCAGCACCTCCACCTGT